AAATGAAAATAAGGCAGGAAGCCTTTTAAAATAAGTATTATCAGATGGGGATATTCAAAGCTCCAAAAGTCATACAAAATAATAGCTGCTTGTGGCTGATATTGTCTCACTGCAAACTTCTTGAATAAATGGAAGTCTGAATAAAGTTCTGAGATTTTCTTGACATTTCCATACCTGAGCTTTTTGTATGCTTCCATTGATATTGTGGTGGTTTGTCAATGATGAAGAGATCCAAGCCATTCAGGTCTGAAGGCCTTGTAATCATCAATCACATCTTTAGCTCTTTCCACAGATTATCTGGACAGACTGGGCCACTTCAAAACATCATTATTTCCAGTGAGAAGAAACATACTGTTGGAGGTTTTATAATGTTGGCCTTAACTATTTGGAAACCTGATCACCATTGCCTCATCCATAGTCATTTAAAAGACTTGGGCAGAGCACGCTCAACCGCTGATATGTGACTGTGGCCTTCGTTTTAACCACTGTAACCCTGAGAGGAACTGCAGAAAGAAGAAGTTCTCTGTTTAAAATGTGGTTAGATTGGTAAATTCTGAATTTTCACTCTGTACAAAAAAAAAAAAAAAAAAAAAAAAAATATATATATATATATATATATATATATATATATTTTAGTAGTTTTTTTAATCTAAGTGTAACAGGCTGGAAACAAAGTATGTACATAATAATGGAACCACAACAGACCTGTAGTCCCGCTCAAGGTTGTCAAACAAAAGGCTCCAAGCTGGGCAGCGTAAAAATGATGTCCAACCACTATATAGACTCGGCTTTTTGATAACAGTTAACCTGTCAAGATTGTGTCAGAGACCTTTGCTAGACTTGGTAGGAAATACAGCTAACAAGGACACACGCTGTGTCCCAAGAGTTTCTTAATGGACCATCTCTGTGATAGTTTGAAAGACAGAGGATACATTCTTGTGACTTTAATATCCTTATTCTAATGCTCTCTATGAGCACTACCTTCTAGATACAAGGAATACCAGAGATAAGTGAATAATTAGGAGAATCTGATATAGAAAATGTCACAACTGAAAATGTTTCTTGCAATGTTAGAACACCAAAGCAAAGTGCTATATTGCCCCATGATGTTTCTTTTGAGACATGCGATCTGAACTCGAAAAAAAGTAGGTTTTTTTTTTTTTTTTTTTTTGCAATGTTGTGTAATTGTAGGGGAACACTCACAAAAGTAGCAAAGATGTTCTTTTGGGTACCTTGTACAAAAGCAAATGGTGACGGAGGGACACAAACAATTTGTTAGCTGTGTTAACCATTAGCCGCTAATTGACATCATAGCTAAATAGTTCTTGGACTGAATTGCATAGCACTTTTCTAGTCCTACTGACCAATCATAGCTCTTTACAGTAGAGTCACACTCACAAAGATGCGCACACTCACATACCAATTGGTAGTCAACTTGGGCTTAAGTGTCTTACCAAGGGGCACATAGACCTGTCAAAGGAGGAAACTGAAATTGAGCTTTCTTTGCTCGATAAGTCCAGATTGGATTACACAAGACTTATTCCAGACTCTAACATACAGTGCATGATTATGCCAACTATGAGCAAATTTGATTTCATTTTCTCTAAGTCAATTCAAATCTATTCGGAGACACATAACAAGCGGCTAATGATATTAAATAGGAAAAGAAAAAAAAATCTTTATGGAAGAATATCATCACTGTAGTCAACACTATGACCAATGCCCTGACTGGAACTGCCATGACTACCACTGACATCATCATTGTCTCCCTGAGCTCATTAGAGCAGATTGAAATGTCAAAGATTTACACACCTGCAGAGATGAGATTATTCTTTCTTTTCTTTTCATGCAACTGACAGAAGTGGGGAGCAGAAAAGTGTAAATGGCGTGATCTGGTGGCATCGTTCGAAGAATTTTTAGCAGCTTTCCCAAGTTAAAAATCTGTTGACATCATTCACACACTGCAGAACAATGACTGTCATGCCAAAACCGCAGACGTAAAATTGACATGTGTCTAGACGGGAGAAAGCATTTGACAGGGATGGAAATCGTTGGCTCGTCAACGGGAGTCATCAGCTGTTTGGCGGTCTGGAAATGAACAAGAGAGGGATTTTATTTTAGCAGAGTGTCAGAGACATGGGAGACATGGTCTGTGAGCTGCGACGCTAAGGGTTCAAACGTTCTTCATGAAATACTGTCACAGATCTCTGTGTGATGTTCTGAGAGCAAATCACTTAATATGTTCCTGGAGCAACACTTCTTTCACCCTGTAGGGGAAATGACATCATTTTTACCCTGTTGCAGTGGAAATGTTCAAATAGGCAAACCCTTTCGAAATTCTTAAGATTTAGAACTTAAAAGGTGTTTTCCAGCTTTGTAATCTTAAAGCCATGCAAGCAAGACTCCAAATGAATGAGTTAATACTATCACATATAGATGGGTATAGAGCATTTGAATTGGCATGTTGAAAATGACGGTGTGGTGGGAAATCATGATCACTGTGTTAAAAAAAATGTGCATCTGTTAGATGTCTGAGGTTTTCTACAGACATTAGTTATGTGTGTATTTGTTTATTTAGACATCATGCTACTATGGAGAGCATCCTTCAAAAGCCAATGACATATTAATGCGCACACGGAACATGGCAAAGTGGTGAGGATTTTACAGATAACTGAGCAAGATGGCATCAGCTTGTATGCGTCTGTTCACGCAGGTTGTGCTGTCCTCACCTGACTTACTGCAATTGGCTGTTCATTTCTGTCACATCCCATGAGTTATGTTTGTTCAATGTTGCACAATGTGCTTGACATGCATCTGATTCTTTCCAGGAATTAGTGAGGTCATGGACAGCTTTTGGATTCTTTTTAAGCCATCAAATAACTCATACTGTGAGAGACATAGTTAAACCGAGAGCCTCTTTTCAAAGTTCAAAGTTATTTGGACACGTTCTCTACGATTCTGACTATTTTTGGGCCATCTTACATGACGGCGTTTGGCTAATCAGACTAGAGCAGGGGACTTCATATCCAGCAGGGCTGGTGACCAAAACTTCTGTGCGTCTCTGTTTCAATACACCTGAGTGTGCAAGCATTTTTGTTTTTTTTTTACTGATTATTAAAAGCTGCCATCTATTCACTGTAATAAAACCTTGACAAAGTGGTAAAAAAAAAAATAAATAAGCAAATCAATTTATTAGCACATTTTTACATTTCTCATCGAAATGTGGAAGAAAGAAAATTAAATTTCTCTCATCGATGGCATCAGTAGTTATTTGAAAGTTCATGAAGTCTCTTCTTGTATGGATTTTACCAGCTTGAAAAACTGACACAGCATGAATCATTCAGAATCAGTGCAGGGAACCACAGACATAAGAGTAGTCGTTGGATGCCAAATACCAGCAGTATACAGCCCATGCTGAGACTGAGTCAGCCCTTGAAAGGGTGATGGGATCCCAGCATGAGTAATGAAAATTTGATGCCTCACGTGTTCCCTATATGCAGCACCATTTAAATGGCTCCCCTGGCACAGTGCTTGGTCTGTGATTCATCTGAGTCATGCTAATGCCTATGAAAAAGACCCTGCATTGTTGTTTCTATAGTGGGTGAATCAATGTGCTAACTGAATCATCAGGCAAACAAAGCATATGCATCATTATTTTTACAAACTTAGACACCAAGTTGGAGGGATGTGTGAGCTCACTCTAAATTAATTCATTATTGCACTGTTTCCTGCAAAAGCAATGATAAAATGTCTGATGGCACCAAGCTGGAAATCTGTCTCTTCTCTGCATTATAATCATCACATAATCATACTCTAAGACAGATTGAAATAAAACCATGAATAATTCTTGAGGGGACAGCATTGCTTGGACAAAAAGAAATATAAATCAATCACTAGATTATTTGCAGTGGGTAATTACTAGCCTGGTAAAAAACTAGCTCCTTGTAGTACACTTTGCTTTGTACAGAGGGTCTGGGCCCTCGACTACTGAGAAACAATTGCTTCCTGGAGGCATGGACTGTGTTGAGGTTTTATTATATTTTATCCAACCATAGTGTTCAACGCTATGAAGCTTACCGGAAATTGCCTGCATTGTAAACAACCATCTTCCACTGCGAAAACAAAAATGCAGAGCCCAACTATGATTTATACTACCTAGTAATCCTAATATCTGGGGTTTATTGAAAGCTATTTTTTTTTGTCCTGCTGCCAAGACCACAACTTGAGGGACTTGCATTGGCCACACATTGACCACATGGGAGAACTTGCATGGCTCTGGGAGACTAGTACCAAGTAATTCACTTGGTGAAAAATATGACCAAATTGGATACAGTTGTCCCGCTGAGGGGAAAAAAAAAGTAATTTTTATAGATGCTATAGTACAACAGTTCTCAACGCCCGACGCCCTGCATGTTCTAAGTTTCCAAGCTACCACTCACCTGACTTATGCAAATGGGTGAAAAACAGGCTTCTGCTGAGGAGGATTTGCAATAATTAAAGAATAACCTTTTTCTGATTCACTTGAATCGGAGAAACACAAAAACATGACAATGGACCCTGGGAACCAGGGTTGAGAATCACTGCTATAGAGTTGTTCTTAGTTTGAGATCAGAGAACATCTGAACATCTGTTCTAACAAACACAAATTAAGCTAGATGAGCAAGACAATTTATTTTTGTGTCTCTGTAGCATCTTTTCAATGCTTGAAAGAGTCTAATCACAGTCTAGCATCCTCTACAATGGATTTACATAGACATGCCGCCGATAAACCCATCTTGTGCCCTGTGGAACGTCGACCCTTCCTTGTTTACCCAGTTGCCATAAAAACACAATCAGCCACCAGTCAACAATGAATGACTCCAAACAAACTGGATTATTGCTCTAATTAAGCTGTAATAAGCGATTATTAAATGGCCACAGGCCTCGTTAGGTGGTTCATTAAGCCATTTTATCTTTTTACTCCTTCATTAAGTCTCCTTTCTTCTCTCCTTTCTTCTCAGGGAGCGTGGGAGTACCGAGGTCTGGGAGATCACGACCCTAATTCTTTCCAAGACAGACGGTTTAATTAACACTGTAGGAATCCTCTCCAACTCCAGACCTCTGCAAAAGGAATTTACTCAGGAATTACACCACACAGGTAAGGCATTGCTCTCTAATGTGCATTTTCAGTAGCAATATATGCTAATTACCTCCGTAGGTTAAAGCAACTGTGTTTCCCGGTCTCATGTGGTAATTAGTTGTTAAAGTGAAGTATATAAAAAAAACATCAAAATGTTTTTTAATATGTTGCCTATTATTTAGCAGCATTTATTAAGGTAAGGGCTGATAATAAACCTTGATGGCCTTTAATGAGAACATGTTTTTATGGATGAGAACTGACAGTGAAATATTTCAAGATGATGAGCACTGATTAACACTAGAAGTGATAACACTCTTCATTTAATCACACTGACAAGAGACAGGATCGCTAACTGTTGCTAGGTGCCCTTTGCAAACTGTTCTAACTTTAACAGTTTTGAAATGGTACCAGCCACATTGTGTGGGTAGTTTGCACTTTGAGACTGGAAATAGTGACCTAGTAATGTTATGAACCTGTTGCTCACAGTTAAAAGGGAGGGAATAAAACATTTTTTGCAGAGATGGAGAAGCTTTGCAGATACATAAAGCCAAAATTAATACTTGTTTCCGTCCCCCACCCACCCAACTGTTATGAATCTGTATGAACATCACTGACAATAGACTTTATAAACTTTAATTATTTTTTGCAATAAAAATTCCTGACAGTTCAATTAAAAAAATAAAAAAAGGGAAAAAACAACAAAAGACTTTGTGCCAAAAGTAAAAAAAAAAAAAAATGTTTTTTTTTTTTTTAAACATCTGCATGTTTTTAGAGTTGGTTGTGTATAGGGGATTTTCTACTTTGGTTGGAAGATTCAGAAGGGAACTTATCATACATGAGCTGCCTCAGAGGTTCTCATGCTGGTAAACAACACCTGACGGTCTATTTGCTGTTGGTAATTCAGCAGTATAGCATGCTGTACCCCTGGGGATCTTTCAAGACAGCTGTCCTAGCTTCCTTTTGAGAGAGTTGTTTGTCATCAATGAGAGCAAATAGTTTGGTTCCTTATGTTTGATAATTTGACAGTGGATTTGAAAGTCAACAGACTTGTAAAATGAACAATACTTGTGTATAAAAATGTCAAAGTATACAAGATTATGATTTGGTTTGAATTGTGTAACACGAAGCCCAAAAAAGTACATATTAATTGTGGTATTTTGATCTGCTGAGCATGCTGTTAAAAAAATGCTAAAATCAAGGCAGAGTAAACCTATTATGTCCCTTTGTGAAGTTGGAATATGGATAAGAAAGAAGTTGCATATAAAGTATATGCCCTACTCAGTTTTATTAAACACTTTCTATATATTGTGACTTGCAATAAATGTTTGTCTTTTTTTTTCTTTTTACCCATGCCCTATCTTTGGTATATTACTAATACTATGTGAAGAAAATGGTTGCCTACATGTGCAAGGGCATATTTGCTTTACTTAAACTACATTTTAGGATGGTATGCTAATTGTGTAGTTGACTTGATGAAATCCAGACTGCATCCAAAATTAAATTATGCACCCCAGATTGATGTACTAAAGATACATTACATTTCTAAGACCTATAACCGGTGTGGATTTTATGTGTGCATGTGTGTGAGCATATGTGTAGAAATAATTGTGTTGAGGAGGTGTATGTTAAGTTTGTTTACCTGGGGGTGCATGGATGTCATACTGGCAAGAATGGTGGAAGACTCACAACCCAAGAGCAGCAAAGGAAAGGTGGACTCAAAACCAAAAAGCTGCAACAGCCCAAGGCAATCATGCGTGCTGCACAGGGCTAGGCTGTCAGCCAAGCAAAGAAGCAGCAGCTCGCAGGCCAAAAGAGGCACAGGGTGAGTTGGTGGGCGCTGACCCTGCCGCACCCCCATCTCCATGTCAAACCCGGGACCCTCTCCAACCGCCGGCAGCAAAACAGTCCAACAGTGGCGATGCCCATAGAGCCTGCAACGTGGTGTGCAGGCACCAGCTCACCACTGGAACTTGGCAAGAAGGATGCATAACCACTCTGCCTGGTCAACTAGCCCCAGGGGGTCCAGAGGGATGGGCGTCCACCAGAGCCCTTTGCGGCCCCTGAGCCCCATGATGTTGGGTATGCACTACTTTGGACGAGCATCCACACAAAAGGTTGCTGCCCCCTGCTACCTCTCAAATGCTGCTGTCAGAGATTCCCGTAACCCTAGCTAACAGTGAACTAGCATAGGAACTGAGCCCTTCGAGCCCAGCCCCTCCATCCCAGAGTGTTTGCATGTGTTGTCCAAAAATAGGTTTAGTTAGGCTACGATTAAGTATTAATATATGCTGAAGGCATTTATTAACAAAAGTTTACTTAAGTAAATTAGTTACTGTCTACCTGTGCAGACACCATGTGAAAACAATGACAGCATAAAAATACAGCTATGAAAAATACATCTGTTCTCAAAATGAAAGACGATTTACAGAATGACTTTAGACTTCTGTATCAAGTGTTGCTTTTGAAAGTCACTCAAAACATCTCTCAACGTGGCTCATGTGTATAATATGGAGGAACTGGCACGGGGTAACAGTGTGTATTTGCACGCATATGATCACGTTTTTGTTTATATTGTGGTTGTCTGGATCTGGCTGGGGCGACAGATGTTCATAGCAGCAACAAGCACAGCCCCAGTGTTCAAATTAGATCACTCGTGTGAGTATTTTTGTGTGTAGGTAGCATGTTCATACATGCGCAAGTCAGACAAGTTGTCAATCACCCGGTATTGTTTTATACTGTGGATTAGGTTTGAGTATTTGAAGGATGAAGGAATGCATTGGTAGACGTAGGGAAATGTTTCCTTCCATCCTGTCTTTATTTTTTGTTTGGAGCTCCAGAGCTGCTCCAGTCTGTCCACCTTGTTGCCTGCCTTCTCATGCTGAAGTGAAATAAATTCCTCTGCTGACGCTTACATACAGAATACACCTACTCAACATCATGAATGCATTCATATACACACCACAAGCTGTTGACGCTGTCTGAGGATGCAGATAAACACACAACCCACACATAGGCAGACAAACGAGGAAGTGCTGGTTTGGACGTTATGCAAAATCATAAACTCCTGTAAAGAAAAACCCATGAGAAACACACACGCACACACACACACACCTACACACAGACACACATACACACACACACACACACATCCTTAGATGTCAAGTGATTAGTTACACAATTAGAATTAGAACCATGAGTTCCATTAAAAAGCAGAAGTTCCAGCTGTTCATACGTTTAAAGGGGGGAGAAATGAAACTTGTGAAACTACTGCTTTATATGTTGAGATCATTTACATTTTGTTTCCTTTTTTTATTAGAAAAACGCCAAAAGACATCAATAATATAACACCGTCAAAATATTAATGTTTTATTAAATGACTTTAAATGGTGCACAGTTTTAATGACATTCACTCCAATCTGAACTGAAAATGTGAAGGAGACCTTTGGACTTGTGTTGAACTCACAAGGTCTTGTCTGTGAAGCAGGGTAACCATGAGTTAAGTTTTCGAAATGACTGTAATTGTGGGCTGCAGTCTACTCCATGAACACAATCAAAGGCAAGCAATTACAAGACCTTGGTCGCCTGCCCCCAGGGATTTGAACCTTTGACTAGGAGACTTGCATACACACTTACATATTATGCTGGCATTCACCCACACATTTCCTGTGTGTTTCATGTAAGACAACCACTCTTCCTTCTCCTCAGTTTTGGAGAGGAAGTGTGGGCCTAATGACTTTTCCTATGCGTCACAGACACTGCAAGTGGGAGGCAAACAGTCACGCTGCACATGTGTGCATGTGAGACCTTTGGCATTTCTGCACATGTTTGTAAAAATAAAAACAACCTGACATGTTCTGCAAAGTATTGCGATCCAATTTTTGTCAGTGTCTCTTGGAACGTTTATGCGTCCGTTTGTGAAAAAGCTTCTCGTGTCGTTTGTTGAAGTTTTGCAAAGAAAGCTCTGCATGTGTAGATGTTTGCAGGAAATTTGCACAGAGTTGTGAGAACTATAGGTATGTGTGAACTGTCTGTCTTTGTAAGTGCTTCTCGCTTGATTCTTGTAAACAGAGCTTGCCACAGAGATTTCTCAGATTTTTTTTTTCTTTTTTTTTCATGAAATACTCAAAACCTCAGTGTAATTTCTAATCAATATTTTATCTCTTGGGATAATTCAGGTGAATCAAGTGGAAATTGTAGTTGCTGTTATTTTTAAGCTTACAGGGCAAATGTCAATATAAAAAGTTTGTGTTTTTTTATTATTAAATCTGTAGTTGATGGTACTGATGCAAAGAAATTAGTTTGCAGTGTCAACATGTTTAAATGTATACCTTTACTTTGATGATGCACTTCTAACTCTTATGTTTATTTGAGGATACTGACAACTCTAATAAATTAGAGTGGGTTCCTCGTAGTAGATTTGGTCTTTGCTGTTCATTTAGTGGTGATATCTTGTGGTTTCTTTTTCTTCAATTGGTGCGTGCAACAGAAAAAAAAAAGACTGAGGGTAAAATAACAGTGCATACAGTGTCTGTTGGAAATGTAGATGGAGATAGATGCCATGCAGATCCATATGTTTTGATGGTGTGACAAAGCAGCTAGTAGCACAAAATAGCACCTCTTGTCCAAATCAACTTTTTGCTTTCCGCTTTGTTTGCGGCCAATACTAAAATGTCAACAGTTAAACCCGGCTGCACCCCCTGGTATTAAATTAGTTCACTGAAAACTTCCTATAGGAAGCTGATCAAATATACCATTGCTGACTCCTTGCTTGTAAAACACATATAGCTAAAAATGATCAAGTAAATATATAGTTAAGCCTGCAGCAGATGGGCATATGCAAAGCTTTTTATGCTGGTTAAGGAAGAACAACAAAGTAATACCAAATGCAGTCCATCTGAATACGTCAAACTAGACTCTGCTGTGTGTTTTATAATTCTGTTGTTGCTATTTTAACAAAAATAAGTACAGAGCAGCACAAAATATATTGGCTTGCATCACAGCACACGTTATAATGGTTT